AAACAGTGAAATTACCAGTTTTATATCACTGATATATTTCTATAAACCACCGGAAAGCATGTAATAAACTAGCATAATGCCAGCATATGTTGCAAATTATTTAAAAACGATATAAAATAATCATACTGAAAGAATTAAATGCAAGATCAATTTCAACAACTCCACATGTATTTGAAAATATTAATAATTTAAAAGTGTATGCATAGTGTAAATAAAAAGTTAAAAATAACAATTTGAATTATTTTCTGCGAGATGACAATATATATCACTCATCTTGAAAATTCATTCAATGGCAGGGACCTATGTCAGTGGCATTTATTAGGTAGGCAATAGCAGCAGATATGAAGGTTAGCACATCAAAACAGATATTGTTTTAACGTCATTCAACAGAAAATTCCTAGTAGCATATCTCAGCGTAATAAGGACGACAAGTGTACTGACTCAATCAAGGAGAGTAAATGTAAGCGGGTGTATAGGTTAAGGCTTTTGTAAAAGACAGCAAAAAATAGAGAAAGTAAGAATCCCTAAAGAAAGCCCAACACGCCTGATTTTAAAATATTGCAGGCTCGGTTTGATCGAGCCTGTTCATGGACGGTATTGTCAAGTGCAAACTACCGTCCACATCCCCTAGCACCGGTTAAAGCAGAATTCAATATTAAATATGAACTGGTACAATTTTGAATTTAGAAACATCCGCAGATGTGTTCATACTGTGGTGATCTTGGGAGCCTACAATGTGACGCGTAAGTGCTTTCCTTGAAAAGTACCCAAGACAAAAATGCCCATGCCCTAAACTGGAACAAATATGAATGGAATTTTGAAAGGCAATTAGAGGTATGATTTCTCTCAACTTAACCAATTTTTTTTTACCATTTCATGTAGAATACTGCTTAACCCGGTGCTATCGGGCGTTGACGGTAGCTTGCACTTTCTAAAGCCTTCCATGCATAGGCTCAATCAAACATAGCCATCACCATTTTCATTTTTTTTTTGTCATTCTAGTTGTTCGTCAATAATTTTATCTATGATCCCTTTTTATCGCTTCATCAGGGTTGTCTGTGCTTATTGTCTGTGTCTGTGATTATTCCATGATCATCGCCGTATGAACACATCTTCGGTTGTTTCTAAATTCAAAAGCCCACCATAAAATGTTTAAATGATGAATACTGCTTGAGCCGGTGCTAGTGCCGTCAAAGTACAGGTCAAAGATAATCGAGCCTGCGTAATTTTCTATTTTGTAATTCTAGGCGTTCTTTAAGAATTCTATGTATCTCTATTTTATCGCGACATCAGCGTTGCTTGTGCCGTGTGGGGTCCGTCAAATGTCGCCGGATTATTTCAATCAGATATGTTCTATTTCTTATCCTTAAAGATCGATAAGCGCGACAATGTGTTTGTGCATGTGGTAATTTTAGTTTTTATTTTCTCGTCGGGTAGTTATTGTTTTTCTTTATTGAATACTGTTTTTTTTAATACTGCGGTTGTTTCTAAATTTTGATTTCCCTATAACATGTGTAATACTGCTGAAGTCGATGCTAGGGGGTAACCTGCACTTTCCGTACCGACTATGAACGGGCGGAATCAAACCGAGCCTACAACATTTTTAATTTTGTCGTTATATGTTTTTTTTTAAGGATTCCATTTCTCTCTTTTGATTAAAATACTTTTATATTGGGCTTAAATGGTTCTTAATTATTAACAAAATGATGTGAAAACGTTTTAGAAAGAAAACGACTTGACTTTTGATGTAAACATTTGTAACAGGATGGGAGTTAAACAACAACTACAAAGTCATTTCTAAGTTTATTTCCATAACTACGACAACAACCCAGGTCATTTATTTTTATGATCTTTTCTTATCCGTCTCTCTCTCGCTTCTCCCCGAACGGAGAATTGTATATCGATAATATCAACGCAGAAATCAATTAACCAATCACTAGTAAGGAGGCTTTCCTATAGTCCAGAAATGTATCAATATATCTTCTAGAGTATGATCAATAGAATCTAAATAAACCAATAACAACAAAAACAATAATATCAGTTGTAACTTTAAAGGCATACATGGCATATTGATACACATTTGACATTTAATGTAGCTGAAGCTTATTCAAGGTATTACTAAGGTATCACCTTTGAAGCTCTTGTGACCAACTTTTCTCTGGACAAAGCTAATAGATCATACAAAGATGTTACATAGCAAGTTTGCGAACACATCTTAGGATTTTAAAAAAATTGACTTGTTCATATTAAATCTTAGATTCTGCTTAAGACGGTGCTAGATGACGTGGAGGGTGTTTCAAGTAACCATTACCGCCCATGAACAGACTCAATCAAACCGAACCTTTTGTACACAAATTTACTGCTTTGACACGTCGAAGTAAATCTGATTAGTTTTTATACATAACAAATACACCGGAATACCATTTGATAACAGTCTACCGCCATATTATCGCTAATCGCAATACGACCTTCTTCCTTCTACTTTAATGAAAACTTAAGTATATAATTATATTAAAGTGATATATCCTGTAACATTGCTTTATTCCTTAAGTGTAAATTCATATATTTGCAAATATTAATTGTTTTGATATGAGATACTGAACTATCAAAATTGAAAATATGTTACAAATATGTAAAGCCACATATAGAGACAGAATCATAATCGATGGATCCGATATACCCTAAGGTAGAGAAGAGATTTACCAAGTTACTGCTTATTATTTGTTCAATATAATGACAACCATATTAATGACAACTGTGTTTTCTCTGTAATCTTATTTCAAAAAAGTCTTAAACATGAAATGAATGATATGTTTTTATTGTCTGCGTTTACATACAAATGTCTTACTGTGAGTTTATTCAACTAGCAATTTAACAGTAGCTGTATTCCATCTAGTTGAAAAGTTAACAGATGTTAAAATTTCGGAAGTGCATCTGAGGAAAACAAATAATCTTAAATCTTTTTTTAAGTTTATCAATAACTACTAGTATGATTAGATTTACGGATGTAACTTTTCATTTAATATCAAACATACAGTCCAAATTTTGATATGAATACAAATGAATAAGATTTGCTAAAATGTTTAGAAATTTTTAACAGAGTTATATAAGTACGTTTTTACCCTTTTGAAAGGCTGTAATAAAAACGAAATATTAATATGGTTTTGTCATCCAAAGTTTAAATTTATCTCCTTGTTTAAGAGAATGACATAGCAGAGTATATTTAAAATGAACATAAATAACCGATTTTTCTCTAACAATTCTAACAGGAACTTTATCGAAATGACACGACAAAAACATTTGTACATTTGTATGTAGATAAGGTATAAAAATCAAGTGTTTTATTTAGAGTGTTTACGGTTATTTATCTTAAAGGCCAGACCAAATCTGCTGAGGTGTTAAGTGTTCATGCTCGTCTGTTGTCCGTTTGTTATGGGTGATTGGACAGTTCTTGAAAATTAAGCGATTAATGACTAATGACAGTTCATTTAGCTGATTTGGTTCTGGGATAGCTTAAGCATTTTTAAGTTAATAGCCACTCATTGCTTTGCTTCCGAAGCGATAACGTACTATTTCTTATGAAGGTTTATCTTCCTTTGAGAAATAAATCACTTTCATTTTTGAGAAGTGCATAAGTGTATAATTATGTCTCGGAGATCATCCTTGTGAAACGGTAAATCATTCTCTCAGATAAAAGTGGAAAGTGAGCAATGGGCAAATAAACGTGAAGTATCCTGAAAAATAGCAGTTAGGGTGAAATAGCCCTAATAAGGGATTTTATTGCCAGCAAAGGATGTCGCCGTTAAAGTTGTTTCAATGGACGAGGGGCATACATATAAACGGTTTTATATATTGCCAAACCAAATGTATACATAACAAAGTGATATGCAATTTTGTACTAGAGCATCGTCAAGATTACCTTTCTATTGGTACAAAAACTTTAAAAAATATAAAAATATCAGATTGCTGCCAACATTTTAAATTGGTTGAAGTTTGTGATTTTCCATTTACCATTGTCATACAAACATCTTTCTCATTTGCGTTTTTTTTCGAATATTTCTTTTGTGAACAGTTTTTAAGCTTACCTGTAATTCACTGCATGACATTCAATAAGAAAGTTATTGTGCCTGTTAGTGAAACTCTATTAGATACACTTGTTGAATCTTAAAGTAATGTTTATCTACATGAATTTATGAAAAATTATATGAGAATATTGCTTCACAAAGATTTGGTTAATGTTTAATATATTTAAGTTCCATCAGAGGAAAAATATTTATCATACGAGTAGAATTCGTTCAGTGTCAATTTTTTTTATATTTGTTCACTATTTTAGTATTTCTATTGCTAGGATCAGATAGTTAGCCTATTGATGTAATGATATTTAACTACCAAATACAGTGATTGACTTTCAGCCAAAGCTACGGAATCTTATTTGTTTCTTTAGATTGGCTATTAAATGATTATATGAAAGTAATCCGTAGTTTTGTAGAGAGTTTTCTATCTCACATATAGATATTTTCAGCACATAAAAAGGACGCACAAATTTTGAACAGTAGTTCTTTTATTTTGGGCCAAATTTAATTAAGTTTTATTAGGGATTCCGTGTTTACTATTTTAATAAGGGTTTTCCAGCCAGGATGTGAAGCATCCATCGTTTGGTTGTTAGATATTGTGAAAACTAAACTGTTTTTTATTCCGTTTAACGACTTTTTCTATATATGCTTTGAAGGTTTTGGGCTCACAAGACCCCACGACTGAAAGAATGTTTCGGCAAAGACTTCATAAAAACCCGATACAAATGGGTAAATATAGAGAAGGCAGGAGGGCATATCTTATAAAAATATTTTAAAAGTTGAAAACGTACCAGTGATTGACCTATTTTCTACTTCACATATAGTGTAAAAGCAAAACTCTGCCATATATATGTTTTACCTATTCTCAGTTTTGGGATCAGAATAAGGTTCACCCCTTGATAAGTGTACATTTTCTTAAATGCTTACCTATTGATGGTGCACTTTTCCTTCTTATTTTTAAGATGTTACGTAAAGGCTCCATGAAATCCTGTAGAATATAACATTTTTTATCAATTGTGTTTGTAAGTAACTATAATTACAATTAAATATAAAATTTGAAGAAAAAAAAAGACATTGTCTAGGAAGAAGATCAAGGTCACAGTTGTTAAAAAATAATTCAGTAGTTTTCACGAAATGACTTAGGTTGCTTTGACAAATAGACGCAAAATTTGATGTGTATATATAGATTTCTACCTAGATATCTGGGAGAAAGGTCAATGTCACAATGTAAAGTTCACAATAGAAGTTGCATCTTCTACAAAAAACTGCAGTACACTTTGACCTATTGATACTAACTTGGCATGTGTGCAGCTAACATGGAAATGCTATTGCTACTCGGGTATTTGATATATTCGTATTTTTATTTTGAACTATTGAAACCAACTTTCTGTGTTGTTTCACATAAGAGCATCATTCTGTCTTCGTTGACATATTTCATTCGTTATACTATCACATCTGTACTTGTTTGTTGAAAACCTGGTTTTCGTCGCATTAGGGTGTTTCTCGAAGTTTTATAAATCAACACATACACGTTATTGTTTACTAAAAGAATAGTGTGACCTTCCACTTTCTAAACTACAAGTCGTCTTCAGAAATATTTTCTGACATTACAAACAATTAAGGGCATACATGTATCATCTAGTTTCGAAGTGTGCTTTGTATTGTTTAATCAATTGTTCAAACAATGGTATTTTAAAAGTACTAGTCACATAAAGCTGTAAATCATGATAGTCTGATCTGATTACATTATAAATAATCTAATTATATCTAATCGTTTTACCAAAAATAATTTTAGATTTATATTATAATAAAATAGAAATTTACCGTATCGGCGAAGATCCACTGTTACTTAAATGTAATACACAATTTAAACATTTAGAAGTTATTTTTTGTCCAATTTATACAAGTATGTAGATAATTTGATTATCGAGACGTTGTTCGTATATTTACTAAACCATCGAATTATCTTCTATGTATGGGTTAATAAACGGTTTGAACGCCGCTAGATAATTATAAATGTCAAACGGGTATAACATTATCTCAAGCGTCCTTATGTAGATTATATTGCGTAGTATATCATCATTTGTCAATACTTCATCGTAATTCAACTTTTTGATAATATGCTTTAGATACTAAATAAGCTTAAATATCGCAAATAAATGACACATATACTTTCTGTTTACAACTTTTACAATTCAGCCTGTATTGGGTTTTGCTAATACAAGCACTTTTTACTTGGGATCCCAGTATCATTTTGCGATCACCGGAAGTATATATGTTTCTACACGTTGCAAGTGGTATCACAGATGGATTGGTCCTTGCATTGAAAAACAGATCCATTTTTCTATTCTTATAACAACGTGCTATATATATAAAAAATATTAAAATATTTATTTTTTCAGAATATACGAACGTTTCTTTTCAAAGCCACTCTTTTGACATAAATGACGACTCAATTATGACGACTCATATTATGTGTATAATGAAAGTGTACTCTTGATATACAATTCGTCCACAATTCCTTAATACTTCCGTTCACGTAAAAAGCAGTATTGACGAGTAAATAAGTAAACTTATCTGAGAATAAGTAACTTGTTCTAAGAATGTATTACGCCCATAGTGGCAGAGGTGTTGCTTTTATTGATTGAGGAATAAGACTTAGAGCTATAGTTTACCCATAAGTGGTAGTACGCGTCGAATAAATGGAATCTATGCATCTCCCAAATCCAGCAAGAGAGATTGTTTTGATCCCTGGTATCGCTTAGAAGTTGTACACCCGATTTTAGGTTAAATCTTTCCTGTTTCGACGTCATAAATTGATCAGTATAAGTTTTATCCATATACACGCACAACAATATTTGTTTATCAACCCGATCAGGTCGAAGTTAAACTTATAAGCGGATATTTCGGAAATGGAAACAAAACAAACAAAATTGAAATAAGTTATAATTGAATTCAATTATTTACATAAATCAAACAATCTACTTTTTATTTAAATAAGATAATATGACATGGTTTGACATAAGTTCATATCATCATATACAGATTGTAACACCTTATTTACAATGCAGCATTCAAGATTAAAAACGTAAGAAGAAAAACACGCACATACGTCAATCGAAGAAACTTTAAACATAACATGTTAAGGAAATGATAAAATGGTTATCACAGATATAACATATATCTTAACACACATACTGAAAATTTGTACAATTCATTTTATCAATCACTATTATTAAACACAATACTTTCTTCAGTGCATCATTTCAATCTGCAATTAACAAAGTAAAAACTAACAAAATTAACAAGTCAATAACTAAAAACTAAGACATTCACCCTCATTAAAAAAACATTTTATAGTAAAAAATACATATGACAATGAAATAGATTTATGAGTGGAATATAAAGATCGTATCTTGTATATATAATACACATGAACCGTGCTAAAGTTGTTAAATAAGTATTTCTCGAAACATGACTTTCAATAGAAATATTTGTCATATAACGTTGAGATTACATTTGTTTAACCATCAAAAACAAGTTATTACATGAACCTCGGGCATGGCTGTCTGACCAAATACTAGTCTCGTCTTTAGTCTAGATGGTGTAGTATTACAAATACGTGTCAAAAAGACAGCAAGTGTTTTAAGTTGTTGGACAATAGAAAGACCCAGGCCATTTGCCCCATAACTGCATTTTTTGGGATTATATTGTCCAACACCAACGAAATATCTCATTGTGCGGTTATGAACTACTTTCTACATTGTAATACCCTAAAAATGACCGCTTTTACTGATGATTGAATAATCGGAATGTATTGCATAAGTAATTGAAACAAAATTCACGTTAATTAGAAACTAACAACTATTTGATGAACGAACTTTGGGGCTTTGTTTCCATGTTGGACTGACAAACACTGTTTTGAAAAGACTGTTTTGAGAAGAACAATATTTTGGGTTGATATAAGAAAAAAAGCCAAGCATTTCGAACTTAATGTTCCTTCTATTTACGTGTCATTTTGATGATATGTCTTTACGAAAATTGTAAGGATTGGGTTTCATGATCGTTGCCTCCCTTGCTGATCATTATTTTCACAATTCATTACCACAATTGACAAATCAAGTAAAAATAAAAGCTCGTTGATTGTTCGTCATCACATATACTTTTTGCACAAGCGCGTAGCCAGGTAAGGAACCCTTAACCACAAGACTTCTCTCTACAACTCCAAAAGATAAAAATATAATAAAATTTGAATAAAATCATTTAAAAAATAAAAGTTATCATTGATATATCACAGATCGATAGAAAACCAGCTTACTGGCTATACGTTATAACACAAGGTATCCAACTCTGCTCATTAACCCGTAAAATATATACTCACCTTTCTTAAATATCTATAACTACATTTTTTTAGCAATTTTCATAATATTTGTTGAAAATATTAGGAAAAAGAACAGTCATTGAAATTATTTTTGATTTTGATGAGTGTCTCTACAGGAAAATTTGATTCCATCGTTGTTGTAAGAATGTCATGAGCGGACTGAACACTAATCGATGAATACATAATGCCGTGTTGCCTGTTTTGGAAGATAACTAAAATTTATAAACCTTTTATCCAAACAAAACATATATAAACGATTACGAACCATCTTAGACTGGTACGGAATAGTGTTTGTTTTCAAGTGTTTGTATATTTCAACTTGTTTCATATTGTGTACATAATTTGTTTTGATATGATTAGTTTTCTTCCTTAGTTTACGTTCTGCTTCAGAGTAAAGCTGAAATTGGTTATATACATGTTAATATTGTTCTTTATTTCTAAAGTTCATTGAAATAACATAAGCACTCTCTTCTCAATGTTAAAAATGTCACCGCCTTACTATTTTAAATACGGGTAAAGTTTATGGTAAATATGTTAATATGCTTATATAAATTTGAATAATGATAATGATAAAAGAGCCAGATTGTACTTATAAATGTACAAGCATTGCATAAAATAATAACAGACTTTCAGATCCATCTAGCAGTAATGGAAAGAATATCAAAATTTTCTTATTGAGTTTTAATTATATTACTGCAAAGATTAACAAGACACATATAATAGATCATTTACCAACGCTATCGTTTTCTTATCGTTTTCTTTTGAATATATCAATCTCTAATACAGATACACGTTGCTTTATAAAAAGTTCTACGGTTTTCTTCTGGACGTTTGTGAGTTAAAACTAAGACACAGTTACCTTTAAAATAGGACCCATTATATACTGTCTTGATAAAAGTATAACGATAAGCCTAATCATCATGATATTTGATCATAACATAATTTATGCATTATATTTCTTTATAACACGATAACACAACATATCTTATATAAAAGTATGAATTAAGTTTGTTAATGTCTATGTCCCAATCCGTGTAGCCAAACTCCATAGGACATTAAAAAATATTACGACAATTTATGCCTTTAAATTTATTGAAATTGCGTTTGAATTATTTTTCTCACAGGAAAAGATCTGCATAGTAGGAATTTTAACAAATAAACTCGCACTTTGTTTTAACACTCATGCAACGTAGGTATATCCCATAATTGTAACCATTCCTGGCGTTGCGCCAAGAAATATCCTTTGCTTATTAAGTATTTCCGATTACTCATTGCGAGATCATTGTAAATAAACAGTTGTTTTTAAACCGAATATAGAGATTTGCAAATTGAAAAGCGTTGCAGATTGCATAAATCATGAATTGCTCTAAAATGAGCCGGAAAATCTCTGTACCAAATCACACAATTATTCGGCAGTTACAGGCGTACGAATAACACACGCGTGAAGTTTATGTAGAGACTCAATCAAAAATCTGGAAACAAAGTGATCCCTCGGAAGCATTAATCACAACAAAATTACAAGAGAACTGCAGACTCGGTTTGATTGAGTCAATGTAAAGTGCAACATCCCTCACGCCCCCTAGCACCGAGTCTGCAGTTCTCTTGTAATTTTGTTGTGATTAATGCCACTGTCATCTACATATGTTTATGTTAAATAAAAGATTGTTGTTATATATAAAGCTACATGTACTAACATGAATTTTTCTGTGTTTATTTGTTATTAATTCTTCTAAGCAGTGAAAATATTTCAAATCAATATATCAAATATATTTTACGCAACAAAGAACGTCCACGAATCATCATCATCATCATCATCATCATCATTATCATCATCATCATGACTAAACAACAATCAGTGTAGGGTTTGCATTTGTCGGCGTCTTAGATTTGTTAATAATTTTAATAATGGAATTGCATCAATTACGTCATTTGATAATTGTTTGAGAGTAATCATTCTTAAAAATTATATATTCATCTTATAAATATAACAAAAACAGATGACAATTGTGATACAAGTTTTTAAATAGTCGAACGTGCCAAGTTATTATTCTGTGCCTCACTCCAAGGGTGCCTATCCAATAATCATGTGTGATAGGATAATGAGAGGCTGAGGGTCGACGTCCACGTGTTTTGTTCTCCCTTTTTGAATATTGGATGCATCTGAACAATGAACATTGATTCTGCGATAGATATTAACTCGAATATTAGAAATATTTTCTTTTATTATTCCAATATATTACACTTTTTACTCTTTGGTTAAACAGTTTCTCGTTGAAATGACGGCGAAAAAGAGTCTAAACAGCTGTTTATTTGTGCTGTTTATTGTATAAAACAAGCCAGTAAGCAAATTGTTTTTATAGTGACATTGTGTAAATACCAAGCAGACATTCATGATATGAATACAAAAAAAACCCTAGCAACAACAATAACAACAAAAACAACACCCGGCATATTGGAATGATAAGTCACCTAATCTTACAAGTACAAATACATATAAACAATAAACAATTACATATAACAATATTAAACGTAATATATGAATGAGATCAACGTACAGCTCGATGTTTATGCTGTACATATTTTCTTTTATTGTGCCAATGTATTACAATTTTTACTCTTTGAAAAAACATTTTCTCGTTTAAATGACGGTGTAAAATAGTCTTAACAGCTGTGTCTAAGTGATATAAATCAAATCAGTAAGCAAATTGTTAAATATAGCGACATTGTGTAAGTCAATAAGCAAATTGTTAATGATAGTGACATATTGTGTAAATACCAAACCGACATTCATGACATGAATACATAAACAAACAAAAAAACATCATCATCAACAACAACAACACCCGGTACATTGGACTTATAAGTTACACTATTATACAAGTACAAATACATATAAATAATAAACAATTATATAAAAAAGCATTAAACGTAATATCTTAATGAGATAAAAGTTACTGCTCGATGTTTATGCTGTACATATAAGTCCACTTTAGTTTGCCTATATTACAGTTTCAAAAGACAAATAAAAATACCCATTTCTCACATGATTAAATATCTTTGCCTTCTCTGATCGGTTAGTAAAATTATAGTGATTTATTATTGTGTATGGCATTCAACACGTACAGCAATACGTCTTCAGTTGTAAAACATCTTAAGGTATTACCACCCTAATGGGCACTATAAGGAACTAAAAAAATTGACATCATAGGTCAGATATATACCTTAAAGTACACCTGTATGCAAAATTTAAACAAACTTTACCGTACGGAAATCAAGTTATGGCCATTTTTCTGAACTCAAGCTAGGATGTTATGAGGGCCCTTTTTAGAAATGAGAAACCTTTAAATAATCTGCAATAACATTCTAATGAAAAATGTTTTCCCATTAAATGTTGGTAAGAAACAAATAGTACCATTCATCTAACAATCCACATAAGCAAAATTATGGTTTCTACGTCAAATTTATAAAATCTGTATAAAAATGTTACCTTACCCCACCCATTTTTACCACGTGCCTGACCATTTTCCTACTTAGGGAGCCTAATTTAAAAAATCCTTAAAATTTACCCAAATGAGTGCCTGTTTTCAAAGTTTCCCTAAATTTTTAAAGAAGTATATTGGTTGATCTTGTTAAATATGAAATACTTTTACCGTATATTTTTGATTTTATTACACTTTTAAAATATCAGATACAATATTAATTACTAGATTTAGCATAATTCAGCCAATGAATACCTATATAACTTAAAAAATCAAAATAAAACACTTTTTTCTTTCCAAATGGGACATGAGAGATACATAAATAATCTTAAAAGAAAAAAAAGAAAGAAAAAAGTATTAAACCCACGGCCCTCATTTTCAATGTAGTTCTAGCCTATTTGAATACTCTACAAAGCGGAGGTAATGCATTAGGATGGTAATACCTTAAAGGTCTAAATCCATTTTTTTACATTATTAAATACATTTTAAACATGTCAATTAAAAATATGGATTTCTGACTCACAATGTGCCCTAAAAATATTATAAAATATAACGAGAATATGATACATTGCATTTGATTTATATCCATCTGAAGTTCACTTGATCATTCAATGTATTCAAAATTCTTATTTTGTAAATCTATTAACTTAAATATCTCAAAGCAGAAAATGTTCGTCCGTTTTTAATCTTACCCATTAGAAGAAGTCATGATTCTATCCTAACTCAAAAGTACAAAAGTTAAGTTAGTGATAACTGGTAAGTGGACCAAAGGCCATACTAAAATTGTTCACATCATTTTGATTCTCTTCGTTTTATTAATTGAATAGATGACTTGCGAAACTTGCAAAGTCTTTTTTATTTTGTTTGAAATGGTTACAAAAATGGTGAACACCAATAAAATGCATTGGAATTCGGAACCCATTAATACTTGTAAACGGTAAATACACTGGATTACCGAAAATGATGAAAATAGATCAAGTAAAGATCCCGTCATAACTCAAAAATACCAAAGTCATATGTACTCTGCTTGGTTTATGGATAGTAAGTCACGTAGAGATAAGGCATGTTATACGAAGAAAATGCTGTTGCCGTGGCTATAGAAACAGTATATACATTGAAATTATCTTGAAATATATTGATGACTCTCAAACACACTTGTTCCTTTGACTTTAATTTTCTTACAGTCGCAAAAGCACGACTGCTTCCTAACTATTTGATGATTCTAAATACCGGGGTATCTGAGACAATTTCCACTTTCATTTCTTCATTTATATTTAATTTGGTTGAGAAGGAAATTATTCAACATCATACCGGTAGGGGACTGTTGGATTGTCTGTGATTAGGTCTTGTTTATACTTGAGCACTATTGCTTTGGTCGGTATGAAACAAGTTCTAAGTAAACAATGGGCATGTGGACGTTATTGTTCATTAACCACTGTCGCCCGTGAACAGGTTCCATGAAACCGAGCCTGCATCATTTTCAGCTTAGCTGTGCGGTAGTTCTTTATTGTTACTTTTTATGTCTAGCAAATAATATAGTCTCACTATAGAAGAAGCACAAAACATATTTTTTCTATTAAATTTCTTGCACGAATTGGACGGGTTATAAGTTATAAATATATCGACGAACATACTCACTGAAAGTAACTGTTCTATAGTAAAAGCTATTGCATTTGCGATCTATCTCTCATAATAGCCTGTGACAGTATACTGATTTGACTACTTATGTTTTCAATTATTTCTCGTTTTGTGTTATCAATATGCGCCTTAACAGCGGTTTATTCGGCCTTGACAGAACCAATCTTGTGATCAGTATGATGCAGAATATTTGTCTGTATTTCAGTCGTTTGTCTGCTAATTTCGGCAGAAATATGGCGATCAATTCCAGCAGATAACGATACGTTGCTAGACGGCGGAACATAATAAAGCATAAAAGTCACAGCCGAGTTCTGTTCATCAACTTCCATTTGTGTATCAGTGGGAGGATCTCTGTAGCGCGACATTAATTCACTTAATGCCTGTTTCATCTCAAGGATTGGTGTAACCATAAAGATGTCGTCGTTAACCTTGCCTTCAAATATACCAAATGCAGCCAATCTGTTTCCGTCTTTTTGAAATACAAGTGATCCTGAATCTCCTAGCTCTCCAAATGCAACGCCGTCAACAGGTTCTATTTCGATTTGATCATGCAATGTTATGTCAAGCCCAAGAGATTTGCCATATAATATACTAGTTCGCACTGAAGCTCCTTGTAATCGTACTCTACCTTTGGTAAGTCCAGTCACCGATCCGTATTTGTATACATATGGATCATTCAACAGTGCTGAATAGCTACAATTTCCTCCGGCATAAAACTCATAAGCGTCATCGGTTGCACCTGCTAAAAAGCAAAAACATTTGGCGTTACTGTTTGGACTGAATATTCTATTGCATTCCTACATAATGAATTGTATTAAGCCGAACCATCATCAATTTGAGCATCTACTGTTACAATTATTATCATTTACGTTTTGGCTTTACTATATGATACCGTATTAATTCGAAAGGGAAAGAATTGCGAAGTTCCGGCCACAAAACTTAAGTTTAATTTAGCATTAGTAAGTTGTATACATATGATTATAAATTTATAACAAACATAATCATTAGATATCTAATAAAATTATATATTAAACTATATTTTTAATTTTGAAGGAAATTTCCCCCATCTATGGAATCCGGGGTTTTTGTTGATTCGACAAGTGCAACTTCCATTTCCAGGTTTGTATTGTCCGCCCTTTCCTATAGACAGCGAACTCTAATTTTACCCCAGATGATGGCGAGATTATAATCGACTGATATACTTTCAGGGGGCTGGTAAGTATCGGTACCAAACATTCCGTAATGCACTTCATTGTCAACAATCAGTTTCTTCATTTGCTCTGGGTCGAGTAAAACATGAGCACTGGTTAATAAGTAAGTATAAGGATCAGTTTGATATCTGAAAAACGGACCTATAGTTCCTTGGTTTGTTCCAAATCCACTGTCTAGTGCACAGCCCATTCTCACATTATGATGTAAATCTGTAGGAGATCCACAAAGCGTAAATACACCTTCTCGAACGTCAACTGGATAAGCATCAATGAATTGTTCAAACGGATCCTCATCGATTGGAATAAATCCTTTGACCTGTACATAAAGTACTATACAAAGTGATTTAACAATTCTGTTTTCCCTACCATGCCCGCTTGATTTGACTCTACTAATAGTTACACATGTGAGATTTTTATGTGTTTCCATCAATTTACTGGCATTTGACTTCAAGCATAATGTTATATCGTTAATCTTTACATCACTTAACTTTTCATTGTCACGTATGCAGTTATTTTCCTTTTCGCTCACCGGCAATATTTTATTGATATTTCTTTCATATATTTGGTAATGTGTTTTAATATCAGTATGTGTTTCCATTATAATAACAAAAATAATATGATTTTCACTATTTTTCAGATCATTTCCATACCGAAAAGCAGGCCAAACTTGAACTATATTATTTGACTGCTCTTTGATGTTTTGACATATAGCATTGGTGATGTATCGAATAATCTCAGACTTACGACCGTATCTTTTGCAAATGTTTTGAAGCAATATATCATCCGGCAACAGTCCCTTTAGAAGCAGCATCTTCGCATCTTTTTCAAAATTTCTACTGTTTCTAAAACAGTTCTGCCATGTCTCTGAATATAAAGAAACAATTCAATAGTAAATCGTTTCACATGAATAAAGCAATTCAAAGATAAATTAGAGCTAAAACAGAAATACAGTCGTCAAACTTTGGATAATTATATTGATGTATACATAAGTAATTGCTTACCTTTCATAGGTGTGGGTAAACTCAACGTGCATGGATAACTCATCTCACGTCTTGGAATACCTTCTGCAAAATAAAGCGTACATCCACAACATAAACAGATCTTCTGCATTATTTCAATAAAAGTGAAGGTCATTTGCATGAAAAACTGAGTTTTAGATTGACAAGTTTAAGAATCTGTTTTCATTACGTTATCCATTTTACCCAATATGTTATCGGACACTACGATTGTATATAAATGTACTCCTAAACCTGAGGGAATTAACCACTTATGTTTCCTCTATTTAAAAGTGTTTTCATTAATTTGTCTCAGAAGTAGAGCCTTAACCTGAAATTTGAAGTATGCTTTTCCTGGCCGGGTCATGCACAAAGCCATTTTGAATTTAATAATAACAATCCGACTTCACTACAGAACAACACATGCATAAAGAAAGTCAAAGAACGTTTAGAGCAAAAAACAGAAACACATTCGTCAAACATATTGGGAATATTAATGTATGCAGAAGTAATTGCTGACCTTTCATGGTAGTGGGTAAGCTCAATATGCCTGGAGTATTAATCTCACGCCCTTGAATACCTTCTGCAAAGTAAAGCGTAGACCTTAACCGACTGAATTTGTATATTATATTCAGCATTACGACATTATTAGTGAAATGTCCCAATTTAGAGACATATAACAAAAATACCAAATGCAAGATACATACATGAACACTGACTTTTTAGATTGGCGGGTCCAAAAAATGTTTTTCATTAATTTATCTCTTTTCGAATACATTGAACAAAACACGTATATCGGAAACAATAGTTGTATTTTAATATACTCATAAACCTAAGGGAATTGATCACTTCAGGTTTCTCTATTTACATAATTATTATTATGTAAGTACACAATTATCTCAGAAGAAGAGCGTCAATCTGAAACAACGTGAGGTTTGCTATTACTGGCCATGTCATGCTAAATCCATTTTAAATTTAATAATAATAATCCGACTTCACTTAAAAACACATGGATAAACCAAGTAAAAGAAAGTTTAGAGCTAAAACAGAAATACAGTCGCCAAGCTTTATTGGAATACTGATATATGCAGAAGTAATTGCTTACCTTCTGTAGGAGTGGGCAAGCTTAATGTGCTTGGATAACTTATCCCTTGCCTTGGAATACCTTCTGCAAAAATAAAGCGAAATCACATTACCAACTGAATGTTTAACACCCATGTCTTTTGCATTATTTTAGAATTTTGTGACAGGTCCTAAAACGAAATACATATGGAAAAACATCCAATACAAGATAAGTACATGCAAACCCGAGTTTAACAAAGGATTGGCCAATTACATAACTGGTGTTTGGAAGAGTGAGCATAAATCTCGGCAGTAGAGAAATACGGGATAGTCGATCCCTGGTCGGGTCATATTCAGAGCCAATTTGAATTTAATAATAATAAAAGTCGACACTTTCTGACTTGAGTACAACACTAATGAGCAATTTATAGGACTTCACTACAAAGGTCATTTATTTCTATAAATATTAACGATGATAGGCAGGTATTTTTTAATCAACCTAAGACTGTTGCTCTTTTCAGTAGTTTATCTTCTTACAAAAGTGTTAAATTTTAAATTAAACTCCAAAACGACTAAAGCCCTGTAGCAGTAAAGATAACAAGAGCAGTTGTACTTGATACAATGTCATCCGTCAAGTGGGCTTCAGCTTTCATTTTTGGTTGGAGAAATAATTTTATGTTGTTTAAAACTAAGTACTTCAGTTATTGTATCGTGGAAAAGTGCATCATATCACTGTTAAACCATTTTCAAAACATCGTCACGAGAGCTATTTACAGCGCGTCATGGACATTCGTTTCCAAAAAAAGAAGATCGAGAAATGATCAACTTTACTGATTTACATATAGAAAGTGTACCGGTACATTAGAGGTATTGAGACTTTTTACCATTGTTTATGTATTTTATCGACGGCAAATTTCATTTACCACCTTATATATTTTGAAAATTATATGAAACGATATATCTAAAAATAACCTAATTAGCCTTTAGAAAAACTAAAGGCTGCTTTAAGACACATCGAGCAATGCTTGTTTGAATGGATTTATTAAATAGGTACCAGTGTATAATTAATGAAAATCGTATGCGTTGCTATATGAAATAACATTTTTGAGATTGATTCACATTATTATGCCCTACTGGGTGCCATGTCGATGTGGCTGGGTTACGTTCACATTTACATTTTTCAAACGTCACCTTGTCTTGCTGATCTTGTTCTCATTTTTACTCTAAATTCAAGCTATGTCTACATAACCTAAAAGGCTGTCTACAATGGCGCTGACATCAAATGACTACATTTCATTTTCAATACCATGGTCATGTTCGAAAATTTTGTACATTTTTAAAATAATTTAACAAGATCTTATGCAACATTTGCTTTCGTCAAAATGACGCTCCATTTTCTCATTGAATAACAAAATATTAAGAAATGATTCAGATTTGAATTTTATCCAAACCTTCACAATTTTTTAAATAGGTTTCGTGAAAGTTATAAAATATTTTCATTATCAACACGAAATTACGATGATGTTAACTAATTTACTTATCAATAAATAATCAAATGATGGTCTCAAAATACGTTATGAATTTTTACATTAGAAACAAATTATAAAGGTGCTAACAAACCTTTTATCAAACTTGGCGAGCTTATTGCCCTTAAAACTGTTGGCTTTTCGGTCCGATTTGGCTCAATTTTATAAAGCCTACTTTCATCAACAGAAGAATAGTCGACAAGTGTTTCTGTACTGACTGTTATACATGGTACTGAAACATATATACATGTACAAAAGTATTGTCTTTCATGGTTTCATATTGCTTCAATATTACTAGATGGAAGATGACGTTGGTCCTAGGATTCGAAAGTAATTGTACTATAATTTATACTGTCTGAAGACAAGAATGTTTGCATGTCATATGGCGTTAGACTGGACAATGACGTCTGAATGTCAAAAATAATGACGTAAAGGTATTTTAAATGATTTATGGAATAGTCTTATTCATTTTTTTATAATTATGTATTGTTTTGTTTTGTGCCACCATCAGACTATATTGTACTGACGATAATAAACATTGTATGATAAGCCTAGCTTACCCACATATAGCTGAATATAGGGATTTTGTAATCTAGGCGTTTAAAGTTCGATGCTTTGTAGAAAATTATGAACTGTTCTGTGATGAAAGTGTGATTTGCAATTTAACAAATTTTATATTGCATGGGTATTTCGATAAGTAGCTTATATCATACCTGATGTCATTTCAGCGCTTTCAAATCCGCTGTCACTAAAACAAACAGAAACATAATAAATTAACGAGAATTTATCACTATAAATCGCTAATTATCATCATAAGCGCAGATTTTATCAAATACTGTAAAATTATAACTAGAAATGTGTTCATAGGACACAAATGTCCCCACTCTCCACTTCTTTGTCAGTTTACTGACGCACAGCAGGACAGTATGACAAAGTGACATATAACAAAGGGAATACTACATGACTATCCCTACACCTAAGTGATTGGGGCATAAATATGACATCCAATATTTCCAATGTTGTCATCCTGATTTTTTTTAAAATAATAAGAATTTCAAATCTCAATTTTATGTACTAAAGTATGCATAAAAGAATTAAATCGAGCAAAGCCCCAGATAAACACCTACACATGACTATAGGTCAAACATATTTATGGGCTACGCGCAATACAATTTAAAAATTGTGATTTTTTTTATCTAAGTCAAGGGTTATTACTCTAAATATAGAAAAATAAATAAATATACAAACTCCAAGATTCACCACTTCAAATATTGACTTATGACTCTAGGTCAAATACTTTTTGATTTATGCGCGACACATGCTAAATATTAAACTAATTAAATTAAACTAAGTCAAGGACAATAACTCTACAAATACTGAATAAATGCACAAGCACACCACCAGGTGTACAACTACACATTCTTACCAACGGTTTTGTAAAGTTTAATGACTCTAGGTAAAATTATTTTTGGGCTATGCGCGACACAAGTTGAAAATTGCAAAGTTTAATTAAGTCAGGGACAATAACTGTACGAATACTGACTAAATCTACACGCAAAACTCAAAGTGCACAACTACAAATATTCTGAGAAACCTTTAACTTTAGGTCAAATTCTTTTTTGGCTACGCGCAAAACAAGATGAAAATTGCAAATTGTTACTATGTCAAGGCTCTGAGAAAACTGCATTAGTTCACACGCGAAACTCCAGGTGCAGAACTTCACATACTGGTCAATATTCATGTGAAGTTTTCGACCCGAGCTCAAGCACTTTCAGAGCTACAAGTGACACAACGTGAGGGCTGGCAAATGGGTGGACGGACAAAGGCAATTCTAAATGCCCCACCCTGTGTGTGAGTGGGGGGATAAAACATTTGTTGTGGATTTGTATTTATTGACATATTAATCATACACATGTTCATTCTTTAAGTGATTTAACCAGGGTAATCATTAAATCTGCATAAATATTTCGTCTTGTTTAAAATCATCGTCATTTATAGTGACTGCATTTATTTTAGGGGTGACTATAAATTGAACATCTGTAAATTCCTGAAAAGGTCCTTAAAATGTCTTGTTCAAAGGAAATTATTATGTTTTATTTAATTTTCAGAAGCATAAAAATATTTAAACTTAAAATATTTTAAAGCATGGTTTTGAAAAACTCTGATTTAATTAGGTTTATGTTTTAAGTCAGTATCTTCATATAAAATAGGGTGTTACATCTGTATTTAGAATCTTTGGGCCTTAATTTACAAAAGAATACTTGAGCGTCTATTATTTTTGGTTGGGTTTTATGTCGCATCAACACAGCATGCCGGTCCAGCTTTATTTGTAGAGGAAGACCTCATTACTTCCGGCACGAAGCGGCAACTGAATCAAACTGACATTTCATAAGTTAAGAACACAAGCATTCCATAAGTTAAGAACATATTAAGATAATTGTAATCTATTAGTTGATATATTTTTTTCAGGTAAGGTACATGTATGACATAATAACTTTACTAAGATGAAGGCTGAAATGACTCTACACCTTTGGTCGCTTATTTCTGGAGTAACATGTATATTATTAAATAAATAGTAAAAACCGTTAGTTACGACACTCTTTTTGTTTCTGAATAATATGTAACGATAAAAAGGTAACATTTACTGTGTTTGTTTTACCATGATCGTTTTTACTTTATTTCAGTTATTTAATTATTGACATTTAGCCTAAAATGTAAGCAAATATATTCAAACTATCTTGTGTGTTTTCATTTTTCTCCTGTTTGATATAGTCATTACTCACCCTTGAAAATAAGTTCGTACATCAGACATTGTCTTCTGTATCTGAAAAATCCATTCCTACAAATAAACAAATCAGTAAAATAAGTATGAATAAGCATACAAAAATTATCATAGAAATTCATCTGATTTTTCGAGCGCCATTTTCCAATGTATAACTTTTGGAGATTTGTAATTAAACAAAATCTAAAGTTGACTGATTTTCATTTGTCAATGCATTGAATTTCTTATACATACAAATACTAAATTCATGTATTAAAGATAAATTATGCTCAAATTTGATGGAAGAAAATATTGATAATTGCTACACAGTCTCTTTGTTAATATAGAATAAACATGTTTTGATTTCAAACAAGGTATATAAATGTCATGTTTAAAATTCTACACACTATAGGTGGTGACAATATGAATATATAGAAAATACCAACTTTACTTGTCCTGTGATACGGATCGTGGCTTCCAATACATAGTTTATTCATTGTTTATTCAAAATAGACATACATATTCAGAAAGAATTTTATAGAATTCAATACATTCTTTTGAGTAAAACTCAAGGATGACAGTTTACTTTATATTTCCTTGATAGTCATGTTTTATAGGAAGGAAATAAAAATGAATATATAAAAACAGTCCCACAGTCATTTCAATCAAATCCTAATTACAAAGTTTTAAAACATTATTGTCATACTGTTCTGTCCATTGCTGATTCACACGAGCATACCATTGCTGATCTTCCAGCCTCTTTGAACTTCAGAAAAAAACAATAATCGATTTTGTCTTCACTTACACTGGAAAAAAAACTTAGCGTGTTCATCTGTTTTCTATTCTTAATACACTATGAAACGTTCGGCTGACAATGCGAAATGGCCCTAAACATGTACTTTAACATTTTAATATATGAATGTATTTTGCATTCCTAAATATATTATAGTTAGGTATATTGTAATATATTTTGGAAAAACCCACAATGACTTAGTTTGTACAAATTGTACACCATTTTGAGATAAAAAGCTAGTATATTGATTAATCTTAGCTCCTAAACGGTTTTGAAAACAGACATATCTCTTAAAACATTGAAATTAATGAATGATTTATGTCTGGCATAATGATCAGGGTGAGTGTGTGACTTGTTATTCTACTCTTTAATTTACTTAAATCCACTATAATAAATCATTAACAGTAACAAGTGTCTACATTTTTGATTGGAGAAAACGAAACAGTTGGAACTAGTCTTCTAAATGATTAACACGTGTTAATTCTATCTATTATTCCTTAATGGAAGAGCACAATACCAATTAATAAATTAAAGATCTTATTCAGGCATCAATTACATAAATAAAAGCAGACCTTTCGAAATCATCAAGAGAGTAAGAATCCTTCATTTTCGTTGCATTTTCATTTGCGAATATATATAAACATCCACGTGAGATGATGACAAACCGACGCTTCCCTGCAAATAGATTTGTATATCCCTTTTATAATTTTGAGATATGAAAAAATAGCCTTGTACCATACTATTCCCTTCTAAATACAATGTAAGCGATTCACTTCAACTCTTTGTTTTGCTAAATTTGCAATACATTTTACAAGAGTATGAGTGTTAGAGATTCATATTTGGCAATAACGTTACAGATATTGTTATTTATCCTGTCACTTGTATCAATTTCGACCCGATAACAAGTTGCCGTATATTTTTACTGATCTACGGCACTTGATCACGTGGTATGCATGTTTGCCGGACTACTTTTCAAGAAAAAATATAAAAACTGTCGTTAAATCTTCTGTGTGTAGAATAACGAATTTTGGAAACGTTGATAAAACTTTGTTTGTTTATTTTATTTCACTCTATAATTTTTCAAGCGAAATAAAAATTATTAAAAGTGAAATAAATGTAAAACTTAACTCGTTCGCGACATTAAAATAGCGTACTTGATTTGATTGTTTTGCACGTGCTCTTTGGCGCTACATTGTGACGTCACGTAAACAATACTTTAAACGTTTGTACAGCGTTAACGACTGAATAAAAGATATTGGTGTTCGAATTCATTTTCTTAGTTAGACTACTTTCTTTCATTCTAGATAGTTTTCACAACAAAATTCGACAAAAAATTGTTTTTATTTATTACATTTTTCAAACAAAATGGCGCCCTCGATGTGAAAATACACAGGGAGATAATAAGAACGGCGAGTGCATTGTTGTAGAATAATGCACGCTTCGGGCCTTCTTTGTTTATATAGAAACATTTCCGATAGTGTGATTGAAGGTATTTTGCCTAATAAAATTCTTTAAAATAAAACGGTGACAGGATAAATAGAATAATAGATTGGTGCCGTGGATGGAGAAAGTTTATCTGGCTCTGCTCCGGAATTTATTGGGTTCGCCTTCGGCTCACCCAATAAATTCCTCCGCCTCGCCAGATAAACTTTTTCCATCCACGGCACCAACCTATTATTCTCTATATTGGTATTAATTATGGAACAAATAACCGCATACTTACAATTCTTTCCAAAGCGGTCTTTGCTTTGAATATTTAAATACCCACTTAACTGACATTTTCCAATAGTTAACAACTCTGCCACACCTACAATTGAAATAATTTAACGAAATATGTAGCCTTATAGCTTTAGCAGAAGATTCTATAGCTTTTAGTAAGTATCTGTTGTATTCGTTTTACCGTTTCCATAATTTCCACAAACAAGCAAAACGTCTCGATACCAATTTTTTTATTTAAAAAATATAAATTGGTAAGAATAATTTAAATTTACCAATACGAAAACAAAAGGTTGTACATTCACTGTTTTTCCTGTTCATGAGAGATTATGGATAGTGCAACATTTATCATGGCTCCCCAGCACCGGCTAAAGCGAAATACAATCCTCAACGCTAATAGTACTAGAGCGACTGATACCGGTGGTTCAAGAAATTAAACAAGACTGAGATGAAGTACGTGACTACCTTTTAAAGACATGGCAATATTTACAAATGCCAAAAATATTTTTTTAAACCCAGTAAATATATTTTTTGTGAATTCCTTGACCGAAACGTTATAATAGTACATGTGAAATAGATGTAATAAACGTATTTTAGTGTCAGGGAAGGTAGGCAAATTTCTTATGTTATAAAGCATATAAACAACAATCACACTGATAGAGTAGGCGAGTATTTCTTCTACTTCGGTGAAAAAAATGCTGGTTTTCATTAATTGAATTATTATAACAGACTCAATTAAGTCTGATTGAAGAAAGTGAAAAATTGAAAAATATTTGTAAGGCAAATAATTTTGGAATGCCAATATTGAAACAAGCCGTTAGGACAGAACATTTAAGTGTCTTAGGTAAGGACAGTATCGTACCTTTTCAACGTATCAGCATTCTTTTTAAAAATATCTAAAATATCTTAAAATATCTAAAATCATTACAATTGTTCAGTACTTACCAATGTTTGTAAAAGGAACATCAAGAAATCTAGGACTCCTCGTTGACAGTGTTTCTAAAAGTAGAAGAATGAACATAAGCCAATTTCTTTTGATAAAACTAAGACAAACAGGTAAATTTAAAACAGAACTTTATGTATAGATTTGATTAAGCTTTAAAATGACAAGACTAATTAAATTATAATTACTATTATACAATATGTTTTCTTTCTACCTTTAAATTGATACTGCCTACATGCTAGGTAATGAGTGAATAATCGTACATTATAATACCTCAGGTGACTTTGCCCTGTTGACAGTCATGTATCATTGTAACATTTATCAATTTCTATGATAATATTACTCATTCACTGTTTTTGTAATGCTAATTTTCATTACGCCAATGAGAGTTATTCTGACTGGTTTTGCAACTGTACTTGCAACAAGTGTATTTTTTGTCGATTTAATGTGTAGAAGTTAACCAACTCAGGCCGGTTAGCACCGCAAACATCGATATTGATACTTATTGCTTACCTTTTCTTGTTGCAGGTGCACTAGAGGAGCTGCCACGTCGGGATGATTGACTACCCAATGAGATTGCCTGTTCAGCCTGAATAAATGAATTCTGTTCTGTAAGTAACGTCTCAGTTATAAGATCATTTATTTTTATTATCAATGAATCTTTTAATCAAAGAGCATAAATGATTATAGCTGTGTGCAGAAAATTCACTCCCTAATGAATGACAAAATAAATAAGCAAATGAAAAAAATAACTGAAAAAAATGATGTGAAAACTAAAAGTCCAAAATACTCTTGACAACATGATTAGGTAGGTGGTCAGCTCATGGAATATTTCTGAATAAAGTGTAAGACTAAAGTAAGTCTAAAAGTTTCTGTTTTGTTTTCTTTGAAAGAGCATATTCAGAAACAATATTTGCACTTTATATATTCAATAGGTAATATATTTTTTTAATGTTTTGTCATGCTAATGCCATCAACATACTTCTACCACATAAACAGTTGAATTAGTGCGTTTGTATATTTTGTGACAATTTAATGAATATTTAGACGCATCAGTACGGGCTCAAAAACGGTTAATTTGATTTTTCGTCCATGCTTTCTACTGATAAAATTTCACATTTTGTATGAATCTGGATGCGAGTCTCAATTTTACCAATTATTTTACACATCAATAACCCGATTTCAAAATCATACTCATTCACGGGTATGATTACTGAAAATTTGTAAGCTATCTCTAACATGTGTGTCTAAAGAATATATAATATATTGAGCTCAAGCTGGTGCAGTGTTTACTCAATGAAAGTTAAAAAAACGGAGCCTATCGAGTGTGATTTAACTTAACGCCATAAGTATGTTTGTAATTGAGTGTATCTTTTTCACAACTCCAGACACATTGCACCAAAACGTCATTTCCGATTAATAATTGGGCTAGTTTGAAAGACAGAAACCTACAACAAAAGAAAAACAAACCGTAATTATAATATGTATTTAAATGTGAACGAGATGAAACTGAAGATCAACATTGTAAAGCGGCATACACTAGACGTAGTCCAAACAATCCGAAAGAATACAAAATGGGGCAGATGCAAATAGACGGAACACAGTGCCAAAAGGAATAAAAGGAAACATATGAACACAATTTGTATGAGATTGGAGGCGGAGATTGGTGAGGGAACGGTTTGGGAGTGGGTGAGAGATGGAGAAAGGTAGAGGGCAACAATGAAAAGGAGGGTGATGAAGTACAAACCGAATCGGAAATTTTATTTGTTTTGGTTTAACGACGATACTGACACATTACTTGTCATACTGCGCCGAACACTATAATAAGTAGATATAAAATAAGGTACAAGTAAGCTAGTTAAATCTTAGTAGAGAAGTTTACTTCCTTTAAGTTATCGAACAGGAGTTTCGATCGAACTGAGGCAAAAAAAGTTATCTATGTGAATTGATGCGATAAAATCTTATCACGAACATGTGCAAGATCATGGCATTCATGAAGGAAATATTTGCCAGTAAAATATTCATTGCAAGCTTTACAAAATGTAGCATCGTTTCCTGTTTAAAGGTACGAATGTGTAACTATAGTATGTCCAATTCTACATCTAAGAAGAACAACATGACGGTTAAGGAGAGATAGAGATGTTGATTTATAAAGACAAGTGTTGATTACCTGACGTTTTGTTAAATACATATTTGTCCAAATTTGATTTCCATTCAGACGAAATAAGTTTATTTAATGAATGTTTAAAATCACCTTTCGGTAACGATAAATTTACTGGTTGGTATTTAATGACTCATTAGCCAAATCATCTACTTTTTTATTTCCTCGTTTTCCTACGTGGCTTGGAATCCAACATAATTTTACTGACTTAGTTTTCAAAATATTAAATCGCAAAAGGAGTTTATTTATCACAATGTTATCAGACTTTCGATTTTCAATTATAATAATACAGAGAGTGAATCTAACGAAAATCAAATTTATTACTATTATGCTGTGAAATGTACGTATGACAGCGTGTGAAATGTATGACAATGCTAGATCAATGGCTTTTTGCTTCTGCAGTAAATATAGATGCATTTTCTACGAAAGACCAGTGGGGACATTTCAACTTTTCATCATCGTAAATTCACAAGTTTAACTTCGTTATAATTAATTCACGTTTTAAACATACGAAATTAACGAATTCAAGATTTCAGCTGTATGATTTCACCTTTTCAACTTTATGAATTTACAGTGTCAATTTCACGAATTCAGGCGTTCAACTTAATGAATTAAGATTTCACTTGGCGAAATGTCCTCACCGATCTTTCGTAATTATCAGTCAATTATCAATTATTAGTCTTAGTCCGTATGAAACATGATTTTCAAATCTGGAAACAAAGTGATCCCTCGGAAGCATTAGTCTCAACAAGATTACAAAAAATTGCAGACTCTGTTTCATTGTCTGTACATGAGGGATAATGAATAAAGGCAACATCCCTAACGCCCCCTATCATCGGCTTCATGTACTTGCATATGTAAAAAAATCAACAATGATATCTCATTCATTCATTCATTCAATTCTCAACACTAAATAGTGCTGGCATCAATGATCCCGAAGGACCAAAGCCGGCTGCACCTATCGGCGATGCTCCTCAGTTTATGTAACTGTGCACAACACATACAGAAAGGACTGTGATGCCTCATTAGAACGATCAAAAACAAAACAATGGGATTTTTTTAAACAGGTTCAAGCAGTTTCCTGTAAAACGAGCAAATTTAAGCAAAATCACCTACAAGTTCCCGACAAAACGAGACAGAGGACGAAAGATAATTAAGTTGGTTTGTATTTCATATTTTATTCATACTTTTCGTCTCTTTTGTTATTACTTATCAATTGAAATACCGGTACTAATAACATAACCAATATTTTGTAGTTTGACGTAAGTAGTCTTTAATTAACATAATTTAAGAGGTCATTGCTTGGATGTCTACTTAGATTAAAATATCTTACTTTTTACTTAAACTTTATTAAATGATTCAGTTAGTGAACAAAACCAGGTGCATGCATGCTACAATACACAACCACTAAAGTTATAAATAAACATAAAAAACGAGATGTATCACTGCGAAAAAAGACATGGATATACGGAAGTGTACGGAATTCCGTATATCATTAATATACGTGTAAGAATACGGGAAACTTGAAATACGGAGAAGTACGGGACCGTATATTATACCAGTCCGTATATGACTAGTATACGAGCTCCGTACACTCGTAATATACGGGAAATTTGATGTACGAATTCCGTATTTTACTAATATACGGAATTTTTATGACAAGTACGTATATTACTAAAATTCGAAATTCCGTATTCGTGCAAATACGGATTCTGTATATAGAAATAGCCAATGATACCGTCAGTGCAGAGAACCTGTAGCATACAGAAGCGGTATTCTAGCTCAATACCGCTGTGTTTGCATTTTAGCATACACCCGCAAATAAATAGCGAATACTTTACAATTGCGATTGACGATTAGATAGTACTTTTTTGTATTTTGCATCTATGGTGAATTATGTTATTTTGTAATTTCTTTTTCATTATCATTATAATATTTTATAATGATGAGCCAAACATGAGAAAATGATAAAGTTGAAATTGTGATGTTCAAAACACGAATTAATTATATTAAAATCGTGAATCCGTGAAAGTTAAAATAATTGTGAAATCACGAAGATGAAATCGGGATTGTCCACACAGCATTTAAATTTTACGTTTATATATGTCCTTCAAAAATAGGCTATATATAATATAATACATGTACTTGCATATGTAAAAAAATCAACAATGATATCTCATTCATTCATTCATTCATTCATTCATTCATTCATTCATTCATTCATTCATTCATCCATCATTCATTCATTCATTCATTCATTCATTCATTCATTCATTCATTCATTCATTCATTCATTCATTCATTCATTCATTCATCCATCATTCATTCATTCATTCATTCATCAATCATCCATCATTCATTCATTCATTCATTCATTGAATCAATCAATCAAGCAATCATTCATTCATTTATTCATACATTCATTCATTCATCACTCATTTATTCTTATATTTATTTATTTATTATTTATTTATTTATTTAATTTTTTATTTCAGGAAACATAAAGATTTGCGTTTTTGTACACAAGTTTTGAATAGAAATCTTATGAAGTTCCGAATTCCCCAATTTTGATTCTTTTCGCGCGGTCTCATTTATGACATAATATTGTGTAATAGCCACGTGCTGTATTGCGATAATCGAAGCCAATACTGATTAAGCCGGATATTGATCCGGATATTGATCATAAACGCAGCAGGGTATAACGAGTGTCGGTTTTCTCCGATTACGTAAGTTAGCGCAATTGGTGTTGAATGTCTTAACGGTAATTTTTACTGTTAATTTCTAATATAATTCATGTACGAAATAAAGGAATTAAATTGTGATCTCATAACCGAGTCTCTATGTGATTTTGTTCCAGATATTATAAAGACTCTCACCTGACATATTAAAATGAAACAGACATAGCTGCTGCATGTATTCTTTCAAATGTTTTTGCAGCGTCGTGTTGTTGTTATCCTTTTATCTGGCGGAATTCGTCATTTAAACAAGAAAATTAGTTTTCTTTTCTTAAACATATTACTGTATCAAAAATATGTATTTCTTTACAGTTAAATCACTTTAATATATGGTAATGACTGTTAATGATAGTAATTTTTTTAGTTACTACGTGCGTAAGCGATATGTTCGCCGCTTTGATAATGTGAGATATCGAGTGACTTTACATTTTCTTTTGTGCATGTACACTAAATTGTTTTTTAATTTTACATTAGAAAAATGAATTGGGATAGAAAGGTAGTTTTGTTGTGATATTTAATAATTTAGATATACATGCACGGATGATAGTGATATTTATCCTGTATAGTATGTAGTAGTCATAGTACTTTTGCAGTGCAAGAGTATTTCGTGCAAACTTAACTATAGTTAAACACAGTCTGTGTACAGTATCATGCATTCCGCATAAGTTTGCACCAACTTGCTAAATAGGGCTAAATGTAGCTACATTTAAAACAAAATGAGAAGTTAATAGAAAATAGCACAGCATTTATAATCTTTACAATAAATGATACAAACTTTTTTACTTGATTGATAATTATAAAGCAATATTTTTGGGAAAATGGTGCAATCCGAGCCTAGCTGTCTTGCATTGATATTTACCACCACCTTACCTACTGCATTACGCTGAATATCGGTAAATTTGTTGATAATTTAATTTATATAGCTAGCCTGTTTGAAGATAATAAACACAATATGATAGTTGTTTTACACCTGCATAGTGGACTTGACCACCTCGTCACTTAATTATAATACTAAACGCACAGTACTTGTGCGCACGTGAAACATATGGCGTTGATACGTAAATGTTTCACGTGCGCACGTAATACTGTCGCATTCGCATGTATTAATTAAAATATTTCTTATGTCATTTTATGCAATTGTCACATATGATACGTATATTTTATTATCTGAATCTGATTTCATACTATCAGATTAATGCTATACAGAGGGAGAATATTTTGAATTATAATTTTTGTGAGAATTATCACTTTATTTTTTTGTGATGGCACACTGTACATTTCAAACCTTTTTTTTCCCAAACGAATTGACTCCTACTAACGATGCTAATATACATCGTAAAACGATCCAAAAGATTAATATGTCAGCACTTTTTACCAATGTTATTTTGTTTAGATATATTTTTAATCAATAAAATACTCTTCACATAGTACAAAGATACCATTATAATTTATATTACAAGTGTGAAATATATATATTCGTAAAAGTTTCATAACAAAAACATATAACTTATATATAGATCAATCATGTCATTTAAATCCTGTGTAAATGGTTGCTTATAAATGACATCTTTATGCTAATAATATAAAATAATTTTGAAATTTGCATAAGATAAAAAATTGTATATATGTATACGCTTAAAAAATGCTTGTGTATAGTCTTTTTGAAAGTTGTGATAACTATTTCATGACACTATTTAAACAGGATTTTAAACTCTCTTATTTCAGATACACACATGCCGAAGAAGATTGTAATATCTGGAGAAAATATTTCCTACGTCACGAAATAGACACCGTCACACTGCATGGTCTACGTAACATTCCTATAGATAATTGATATATTGAAGTGTTTTTAAGAACAGTGTTTGAATGACGAATTTCTGTGAATACGATTTTTAATTTTTATGATTATTATTAAAACTTTCTGTAATTATCAATTTTTGCTATGCACTCATTTTCCTAAAATAATATGTGAATGTTAACACGACCAAATGATATGAATATCTTTAAAATGTTTTATGGGTGTAATATAAGTGGCTCATATGAATCATTCTTAAGATAAATCGAAAAGAACTTCAAGTTAGCATAGTTTGGTCTAGATTTAAACAACATGCAATACATAAAGGTTACGGCTTGAAAATATCGAAAAATGTACATGTATAATTCGATCTCTGAAGAAAATATCGCGGTGCGGATGTTCTGCACTGTGATACGTATTTCATGACTCTGTATCGCAACATACCGGTATATCGCCGTTCCGTTGCAACGCTACATTAATGTGTCCCTCTGGAATAAGGCTTACAACAATACATGACTATTGTAGCGAAGACATGTTTATTTTGTTTAATATATGTATACATATTGAATATATGTTTATGAAATAATAACTATTTAAGCGTGACTCGATTTGGTTTTTACTTTATTATTTGAAATACGCCAATTGTGAAGGTAAAGTTCTTAATCATATGACTTTACAGTTCCCATTCACAATGTGTAATAAAACATGTTCTATTTTACAAGCCTGCATTTCGGTCATGTATACGTGTCACTTATATGTAAATACATGCTTTTGATAGTATCTGTACCTTCTTTTATCTCGAAAATACAGTTCTGTATACCCTATGTACAACTAAAAAATGCAATTCCGTATATCCCCTGTATATATTGAAAATACGATTCCGTATATCCCCTGTATACGTAGAAAATACGATTCCGTATATCTTCAGTATATGTAGAAAAAACGATTCCGTATATCATCTGTATATGTTGAAAATACGATTCCGTATATCCCCTGTATACGTAGAAAATACGATTCCGTATATCTTCAGTATATGTAGAAAATACGATTCCGTATATCATCTGTATATGTTGAAAATACGATTTCGTATATCATCTGCATATGTGGAAAATACGAGTCCGTATATCATCTGTATATGTAGAATATACGGTTCCGTATATCCTCTGTATACGTAGAAAATACGAGTCCGTATATCCTCTGTATATGTAGAAAATACGGTCCCGTATATCCTTGGTATATTTATAGTATACCAGGGATAACGACCTTGATAAAGTCCGTATACGGGATTTTATTCTCCGTATACTTCAAACATACGAACAAATATACGTACATGTATACGGGACAAATACGGAATTCCGTATATGCCTGATGCATATACGGACTTCCCGTATACCCAGTGTTCCCTTTACGGACTCGTATACTTGGTCCGTATATTCGACAAATACATCCCGTACACGCCCGTATATGTCAAAAATACGGGACCGTATATTCCCGTATATCAGTATATTTTTTGCAGTGTATATAATAAGTAAAGGATCAGTTTCACTTCGTCTATCACAAAGCAGACCAGACTTGTTACTTGTCTAGACAAAATATTTTGCATGATTTCTTGAATTTTGTAAAATATCGTTTATCTGTAGGTAACGTTTGTAATCGGGAATCTAAAAATATGTAATCGCCATATTCATTTTTCTCTGGACCAATATTAAATGTTATTGTGAATTTAAAACAACTCTTTATAATAAATAAAAGATAACTTATAAGTGTTGGTTGTTAAAAAGTCGTTGTTAAAATGTATAGTTGTTTATATATATGTATCATTGCTTGATCGTTAGAGGCGGCTAAATGAGTTCAAATAAACACTGCAACACTTAACTCCAGCAGGCGAGTTGGTTTTTACCCCTGTCGTTGCTTTGAAATTTGTAAAACCCAGCGCTAGCCAAAACCATCTTACATGTTTCGGTGTCATATGACATTTACTGTTTTTTGGTGCGACGTTAAACTAAGCAAACCAAATCCTAGTGTTGCTCATATATTTTATCTCAGCAAGGGTCATTTCTATTCCTGACCAGTCAAGTGTTTTACAGGAGCCGCTTAACAGTTAAACATGAATATCGAATTGTAGAAATGATGCAATAACTAAACGGTGAACATATGTTTATAGAATTCAGAAATATAAGTGTTTATATAAAGGATAAGGAGTGGCTTTTGTATTATTTACGTAAACTTTTAATTTAATTGTTGATCCGATTACATAAGAAAGAATCTGAATTTAAAAACAATACAATAAAAAATATAATACCATATTGATGAAGATTAAATTTAAAATCCACTTCAAGCTAAATGTAATACATATTCACATACAATTTTTAATCTAAAAGTTATTCCCATCCAAAGTATAGAATCATGCATCTTTTACCGGTTTTTATTAAGATGTGTTGTGCGCGTTTACAAAAACGGAACATAATATCTCTTTTGTTTGGGAGAACCCACTTGTGACAATGATATTGCAAATTTCCAACCACTAAGGTATAATGCTTACTATTCTACACTTCCTTATGTAAATTTTATTACGTAGTATTTTATTATTCGTCGATGTTTCATCGTATTTCAACTTTTGTTATAATATGCATTAGACACTAGATTTCCTATAGGAATCGCCAATAAATGAAACATAGACTTTCTGTTTATGTTTTCAATAATTATCTACTACACAAACTTTTCTATCTCCAACGTTTCGAGGGGTTAAACCCCTCTTTTTCAAGGAGATTCTGTTTATTTTTTACAAATCACATATTTATCTTCTTACATGTCTTATCCTACACTATGTTAATACAGGAAATGACGTCGTTGACATCAACAATAAAAGATATGCAAACCATGATGATGACGTTTTCCGTCAAAATTGTTCCACTGCATAATGTTTTTCCCCTTACTTATTGTTAGTAAAAATATTATATACATGGCAAGCAATGTGAACTTCTTTCCTTGAATTTCATTGAGAATACATTAATATTAAAACAAATAATAATGATAATAATAATAATTATTATTATTAAAAATGTTCTACTTAACCATTTAGTAATAATATTTATAAAAGCAAATATAATAATAATAATAATAATAATAATAATAATAATAGTAATAATAATACTAATAATACTAATAATAATAATAATAATAATAATAATAATAAATAATAATAATAATAATAATAGTAATAATAGTAGTAGTAGTAGTAAAAATGATAACAATAACAATAATGATAAGTGACAAGTGATAATTACTGACTAACTGAAATTACTATGTTTTAGTAGCTAGAAAATTAGAATTCAATTCGATAAACATTAAAAAATAAGATTGCAACAACGCAATAATACAACAATACCGATGAATGCAATAATTACTGTCATGTACTAACAGTCAAAACAACAATAATACTGAAAAATCCTAAAGCACGTATCATTGTCATCACGTTCATCTCAAACATCTTAACAACAATAATAACAATAACAACAATACAAGCAAAAGTGATTATGACTGCAACAATGATAATAGTAATAAGTCTTATTTTGTTTTTATATGAAGTCCGATAGGTGACCATTTGTAACTTGTTTATCCAAAACTCTCCACGAAACCGTTTGTAAATTGTACTCTTATTGTTATTAATTGATTCTATGATATTGAATTTTATGTCATTTTCTGAATGGGCTGATGAATTAAAATAGTTTTATAGACACAGGTTTGTCTCTGAATGCCCTTATATCCCAAATATACTCTTTAATATGTCCTCCCTGTTTCACCCACCCACACATACAAGATGATTACATTCTCCGCAACTTATCAGATAAGCTACATTCTTGGTGTTACAGTTCCCACCTCTTTGTATACTGTAGGTAGTATCTTTCACTTGAAACGTTTCGCTCTGTGGTAGGAACACGCAAGTATTGCACCGAGGTGTATCACATGGACCACTACAAAGACTGCTCTACATTATAGCTTTCTTTTTTAAGTTTTCCATGAATTAAAATGCCTCAGCAAATCACTTATTTCAAAACTCACGTTGCAGACATGAAGCAGTGCATTAAAATCAATGACCACTAAACGTACAATGAAGACAGACTCATTTTATTTAAGTGCATTAGTATTTACAAAGAGCATAACTTTTAAAATGGGCGTCAGTATACTTTGATGATAGCAATTGAAAAGAACAGAATATCTTCATCTGACAGGACATGGGTTAAAAGTTGGACCAGCATAATTAAAGTGCTTCAGCAGATCTTTCTGTACTTAAAAATTTCAATAGTGCTATTTTTATCAAAATCTCAGATATATTTGATCTGATTTGTTTATATTAACATCGTTGCACAAACGATAATTTACAATTAAGGATGAAGTGCTAGTAAAAACGCATTAAACAATGCCCTGTTTAACTTTTAAGGACACATGTTTTGCAAATATTTTACAGAGAGTGGTTACATGTTATATGTGCACGTTATGGTGAAATATTATTCTAATGGGGGGCGTGTGTTTTCAGATGTCAAAATTGGCATTGACAATATTTTACTACATCTTTGAGGCATCTAAAACATGTTGAGCTTTCGCCGACTATATTCCTAAAAATACTTCTTTTTCTGAAAAAAATGTTGTTATTGCTTTAAAGTTTGTTACTATTCATTCCTTATGTTACCCTTTTAGAAAACGAATTAAACAAACAGATACTATCTCTAAAACTGGTGGACACACCTTCAAAAATAGTGAAATCTTTATCTGATATCACGTACGATACTAAATACGATCAACAGAACCATATATGGTATAACAGACCTTTTAATTTCGAACTCGTTCACTATAAGGAGTCGTTTTCTCAAAACTGGAGCTCCTTGTGGCAGAGGAATGGCCTTTAATGCTTGATGCATAAAAGTTGCAGCTACCATATAGCCCTGCTTGATCTTTAGAGGCGACTAAATGGGTTCAAATAACTAGAGTCTATGCAACTCTTAGCTCCAGCAGGTGAGTTGGCTATTACCTAATAGTATGGTGTTGCTTTTGTAGCACTTAAGGTTAGCAAAATTATCTTTCCTGTTTCGACACCATACCACCTATTCTATTTTGGTGCGCCGTAAAACCCAGCAAACCGAACAAACCAAAATTGAACGAACTTATAGTGTTGCTCATTTATTTGATCTCAGCAGGGGGTACTTTCATCCCAGTCAAATGTTTTACAAGATCGTTTTAACAATAATACATCGATAAAGAAACGGTATAAATGAAACAATAACAAAACACTGAACACATGTCTTATACAATTCAGAAATATAGGGTCTTATATAAAGAGGGAGTGGCAATTGTACTTTTAATGTAAATCGTTGTACCAAAAATGAATTTTAGATTAATAAAATAGAAAATGTATTACCATGTTGGTGACGATTAAATCCACTATAACCTAAATGTGATACATGTCAACACTCAATTAAATAATTTAAAAGTTATTCTTTACCGCTGTATAGAATTATGTAGCTATTATCATTTAGATGTTTTGTGCTCATTTACAAAACAAACTTTATTTAAATATCTCCTTCTTATGGGTGAATTATGATATAACATAAAGTATGATAATGATACAGCAAAATCTATTCATTGGGAAAATACAGTCTCATACTTCCTATATAGATTTTTACATACTATTTAATCATTCGTCCATGCTTTATCGTATTTTAACCTTTTCATAATGTGTATTAGATACTAGATATCCTAAGGTTTTACACATATATGAGGCATTGACTTTCTGTTTATGTTTTTGTCGCAGTTATTATACCCGAGCACTTAAAAGATCTCAAATGTTCAATTATAAACATGGTTTCCTACATAGAATATATTAAGGAACCCTTTAAATAAGATAAGATTTTTATAGGTATGGTGTAATACATGAAGCAGTTATAACCAAACGTACGATGAAGACAGACCCATCTTATTTAAGTGAATATGCATTTGCAAAGAGAATAACGTTTTCTACAGATTTAGGAAAATTAAATCCGTTCTTGTTTTTAATTTTTTGTAAATTTTAATAACAAATTCAAATATATATATCTATATATATATACTTAGTACTAGAGCAAATGTTTACATGTTAAAGCATTCTATCAATATGGTATCATAGAGACAAGTCCACACTGAGTTAAACCCACGTGACTAGAGAGTATATCATAATTATTACTCAACAGTTTACATATTATTGTTGACTACTCTGCTTCTGCTGCTGAACAACTTCAATATGATATAGACAAAATATTAGCTTGGGCTGAAAAATGGCTAGTTACTTTCCATCCATCTAAGTCTGAATCTATGGTTATCTGTCGTAAAAGAAATAAACCCTTTCATCCTTCACTTCTTATGCATAACCAACAAATAACAACCGTCAACAGTCACAAACATCTTGGCCTCTACCTTTCAGACGATTGCTCGTGGTATTGTCACATAAACTATATTACCGAACGACCCTGAAAGAGGATACACATTATGAGGAAATCGAAGTTTCAGCTTGACCGTAGATCTCTTGAAGTGATATATTTAACTTTCATCCGACCGATTTTGGAATACGCCGATGTTGTCTATCTAAACTGCATACAATATGAGAAACTGTAGCTTGACAAGATTCAAAATGAACCGTCTCGTATTGTGTGCGGTGCTACAAAACTTGTATCATTAGTTCAACCCCATAGTTTGTTTGTTTGTTTGATTGATTGGGTTTTACGTCACATCGACACTGTAAAGGTCTTATCGCGACGTTCCAGCTTTACTGGTGGAGGAAGGCTTCAGGTGCCCTTACGTGCATTATTTCAGACACGAACGGGCACCTGAGTAGAACCACCGACGTTCCGTAAACTAGCTGGATAGCTTCCTCACATGAAAGAATCCAAAGTCCCTGTCGGGATTCGAACCCACAACGTTGAGGGGCAAGTGGTTTGAAATCAACGACCTTAACTATTCGGCCATGGACGCCCCGACTCCATAGTAAAGTTCCTTGGGAATCCTTAGAATCTCATGCTTATCTTACTTTATTAAATGACAAATGGCTTAACACCAGATTACTTGTGCTCTTTACTTCCACCTACTGTAGGTGAAAATTCAAGGTACGATCTAAGCAATGCTACAAATATTCAGACTATTCGAACACGAACAACTATTTATCAAAACGCTTTTCTTCCAACTGCTCTGAATAAATGGAACGCCCTTCCAACTGAAGTACAAAATTTACGTTCACTGTCCTCTTTCAAATCCCATTTGAGACGAAGCAGCTCTATTTGTCCGATTTATTTCTATGAAGGCGATAGAAAATGGAAGATTTATCATGCTCGACTTCGTCGTACTGAATGTAGTTCTCTAAATCAGCATCTGTTTAAGAAAAATATTTCTCCATCTCCTCTTTGCCAGTGTGGCAGAGTGGAAAGTAATTACCACTTTTTCTTTGCATGTCAACGCTATGTTGACAGCAGGGCCTCTTTTCTTAACACTATATCTACTATTTGTTCAGCAACTCTCCAAAAGTTATTAAATGGAGAACCAAACATTAGTGATGATCTGCTTGTATCGCAAATAGAATAAAAAA